CTTCTCCAGCACCAACTTGCCAGTGGGGAGTTAGCCATCTTAGAAGTGGATCTTCCAGATGCTCCAGATCCTGCAGGGAGCTGACACATACTGGTGCTGGTGAACCTGACCCAAATTGCGTATTTGTGAGCAGAATAAATGACAGTTTTTGTTTTAAGCCACTGAGTTGCATGGGGATCGCTCACTCGAGCAATATCCTTGAAAGCAGACATTAAACAAGTGGTTATGTGTGCTAAGTGTTAGGAGAAGCACAAGACCCCAGGGGAATGTAAACAAGACAGCTAACCTGGTCTTGTCCTGGTGTGCTTTGTTACTAAGTAAATGTTCTTGTCTGTACCGAGCAGTCGCAGTCGGAGGTGTTTTCCTCCTTAGTTTGGTGTCCCCAGCAGAAGCCCACGGTTCCTGCCAGCCTGACTTGTGATATGCATTTCATTTGCAAACAGCTTTGCTCTCTCTGCATTTGTGTTTCCCTTTGGGGAAGTGGGGCGGGCGGGAAAGCACATCAATGGGAGACGGCAGCGCCCATCCAAAGTGAACTCCATTTACTTTCGTCTCCTTCACAACGGCACGGAAAATGGAGCATAAAAATATGCCGTGGAAGGTTAAGTGCTCCATACTAAATGCGGAGGGTACGGAGGAGGCAACGAAGCGCGGGGCGGAGTGAACAGCGAGGGCTGAGTTCAGAAGCAGGGTTGGTTTTTTTTTTTTCTTCTCTTTTACTACTGTTCAAATGAAGCTACGTGATACAACAATTCATGTTAAAGGGAGGCTGCACAGCAGAAAAGCCAGGAGGACCTCTTTTGACAGGAGTCCCTATCAAATCAGATAATCCGGAGAGATAGACTGCAGTCAGCAGATCAGAACCAGACCATCTTGTCTCCTGCAAAAACCTGAGGCCGGGCCGTGTGTCTGCCAAGTCTGGGCTGAGGGATGAGGAGAAGTGGATGGAGCCAGGCGCAGGCGGCCATTTTGATCAAGAGCGCTGTGGGAGAGCTGCACTGGGGCCTGGGGGAGCGGGGTTCAGTTCAAGGAACCCAGGTGGTCCTGGTTGGGGACATTGCAACTTACACCTGGATTCCTTGGTCCATTCGCTCAGTATATTAAATGCCTTGTACGTCTTGTAGGCCTGGAGGATGCGGCAGAGAACAAGGACCTATTCACGGGATACCTTCCTTCTAGCAAAGGAAGAGGTACAATATATAAGTAACAAACAAACAAATCTGTGTGTGTTTGTGTGTGTATATATATACATATTTTATTTTATTTTATTTTTTTGATGAGGACGATTTGCCCTGAGCTAACATCTGTTGTCAATCTTCCTCTTTGTTTTTTTTGCTGAGGAAGATTAGCCTTGAGCCAATATCTGCGCTAATCTTCCTCTATTCTGTATGTGGGATGCTCGACAGCACGGCTGATGAGTGGAGTAGGTCTGCGCCTGGGATCCGAACCCATGAACCTGGACAGGCGAAGCAGAATGCATGGAACTTTAACCACTCGACCATGAGGCTGGGCCCTGTATATATATATATATATATATATATATATATATATATATATATTTTTTTTTTTTTTTTTGATAGTAATAAAGTGATGAAGTGGAGTCCTGTCAGTCCTTTTATTCACAGACCTCTCATTCAAACCCTGGTCCTTCCTTATGACTTGCAGAGTGAAGTTCTAATGACTTCTCGTGGCATTTAAGATGCTGTACAATCTAGTTCTTGCTACCTTTCCCAAATTATTTTTCTTTTTCTTTCCCTCACTCCCCAGGACATAACCATATGCTTCAGTCTTGTGAGGGGGTCAAGAGCACCATTTATGGAGTCAGACTGCCTGGGTTTAAACCTCAGCCCTGGCACTCACTAGCTGTGTGACCTTAGGTAAGTCACTCAACCTCTCTGAGCATTAGCTTTCACTTCTATAAAATAACTAGAATGGGTCTGCTATCTCCCAGGGTGATTGTGAGAATCAGATGAGATCATGGCCTCGACAGAGCAGCACTAATAGTAAAGCAACATATTACTTGCTTATTGGTATCAAGGACCATATTATATATGTGTATGTGTGCATACATACATGCATATGCATGTATATAATTGAATCGTGACCCCACTCTAAGTCAGAATATATCCACCTTAATGCCACATAGTAAGACTTGAACTGTGCCCGTTTTACTCTTCATGCCCCGTTGATAGATGCTGAATAAAATATACTCAGCTCACTGGTGTGTCTTGCAGTGGATGTAAGATCCTTAACTAGGAGGAATGTGGTTTCACGGGGCTCAGAATGGGTAATTAGGAGACTGTTACTACAAAGCGCTGAGGAACGGCACGCTTTTAGCTTTAAGAACTGCAGTTGGGGGCCGTATTACACGAATCCGTGTGTGCCCCTTGGCAACATTAGAATTCCAGGACAGAGTGATCTTTAAAGATTTTTTCCTCTTGCAGCCGGTGGTGAGGTGGCCTGGGCTGCTGTGGGGACAGTCGTGAGTCTTTTCTCATTTATATATCATTTCAGCAGGGACAGAAAAAAGGGGCAAAATACTGAAAATAAAAGTTAATTAAAAAATAAAATCAAGAGAAATGTGTCTCGGAGGCCACCTTTGTTACAGAGACCACCTGTCATTAAGCATTTTCCTGTCTATAAACCTGAGATTGGAAGCCAATCGACTCTTCCATTGTTTAATTTTTAATGCCTCCTGTCTGGTCTCTGAGGTAGCTGTTATAGTCAGAGGCTGTCGCATAGATGGGTACCCTGCCCGGAGAAAAAGTGAGCCTTCTCCCGGCCAGAACTGACATCCACTGGGAGAAACTTGCAGCAAGAGTGATTCCCTCCACCGCACCCCGAAAATTTGCTCTTGCAAGGATGCTAGTCTGTCCCCTCATTGTGGGGGAATTATGATGATGAGAGAGGAAGGCAATGTCTTTGGGAGAAGGGAACTAAATGGTGGCTCCTTGGCAAGAGAGCATCTTCTAATTCACTTTTCTCCGTGTTTCCTGTTCCTCAGTCACTCAGTCACTAGTAGTTAATGGAGCATCTACTCTGAGTCATGCACAGTGGCAGGTAGGGAGGTGGAAGCAGTGACGATGTCAGAGACAAATCTCTATTCTGGTGACCCGGACGTTCTACTGAGGAAAGGGAGAGGATGAATACTTTCACAAATAAGGATGCTGGGCCATTTCAGGTGATGGCAGAGCAGAGAAAAGAAAAGCTGAGGGCGTGGTACCCAGGGAATGACAGCTCCCTGAGGAGGGAATAGTCAAGCAGTTAAGTTGAATGGTGAGAAAGAGTCAACAATGCTGGCGTCACAGGGAATGGTGCTCCAAGCAGAGGGAACAGCCAGTGTGAAGACCCTGAGTTGGAGACGGGCTTAGTTTCTTTGAGAATCAGAAAGATGTCACCATGCTGAGGGAAGAGGATGCAGGCAAAGGAAGAGAGATTGAGGACATCAGGGAACCTGTGAAAAGAGGGAGGATTTGGTCTATGGATTAGGATTCAAATCTGGGATCAAAACATCCGGGTTAGTCTCATTCTGGCCAAAGTGAAAGAAATGTGTTCGAGGTCACGAGGTCAACTGCAGTGAGTGGATTCGCTCAGCTGCACTTCCTAGAAAATGAGAAATGACACTCTACGGACTTGCTGCCTCAGTCTCTGCTCAGGATCCCTCCCCTCCTGCCTGTGTGAATACAGCCCCATAAAGAACCTTTCCTTTGCTCAGAACCCCAGTACACCATCCTTCTCCTGCTTTGCTGTCACCTTCCTAAAATGCACCCTGATGTCTCCTTCCTGTTCAACAACGTCCTTCAGATTTCGACATGAAGTTCCAACCCCTCAGTTCAGCACCAAGACCCCACAGTCTGCCCTCTGCGAGTCCCGAATTCCACCTGGAATAGTCTACCCCTATACCACAGAGCTCGTGATGACACGGGACTTAAATGCCTGGTGGGCCCCCAGCGCCTTCACTTGGACTTTTCTCCCTGCCTGGACCACTCATCTTCTCCCTCAACGTCGGGGAGATGCTTTCTCCTCCCTCACGTGTCACTGCCAGCCTCCATCAGATCCTCTTGGGAAACCGTCTGCATATTGCAGTCTGATAGAAAGCTCTTTCCTCTCCTGGGAGGCAAACCAGGCCAAGAGAAGTGTGAGATGAGAGAAAGTGGAGGGCATGTTGCCTTCAGAGTGAAGATGATTCCAGCAGAAAAACTCACAATGGGAAGGGCTGAATTGGAAATGAACTTGACTGGGGGATTTCCGGTTTGCCTTGTACCTTCTGAGCTCTGGGCTTCTGGGGCTGGGTGGAGCGGCTGGGGCAGCGCCGTCTGAAGCTTCCTTACTGATGCTGGTGTCTCCCTGGTCCCTGCCACACACTTCAAGAGCTCACTCTACTCCTGAGCTGGTATTTTGAACGGCTTTGAAATAAATTAGAGGGGGGAAAAAAACCCCTCCAGTACATTTATTAAGTGACAATATTAAAATGAATTCTGCTGAGTTTTTACCATGAGAGTCATAAATAGCATTTAATGTTTATAATCTCCTTTTTGGAAGACTTTAATTTTGTTGTTCCAGGAATGTTTATAAAGTAAAAAGGAACTCCTGGTTCCTTCAGTGAGGGAAGCTGTTTCGGAGGGACCCCCCGAGAGATTTACAACACCCCCTCTTCCTGCCCTAATTAAGGCATTTGTTACTATGTTTTAATAGCTCCAAGATGTCTTGTACTGGCTGTAGCTGGGTTTATAAACAGCTTTTCCTTGAGAGGAGAGGGGAAACCTTCCTTTACAAGTTGTAAATTGTAAATTCTTGAGGGTGGGATGATGGCACATCTTCCTCATGTACTATCCTCATAGTGCCTAGGGCCCACCCCAGGACTGCTGAATCCAAAACTCCTGGCCGAGGGGTCTAGCAAGCTGCATTGTGACCCAGCCTGCAGGTCATTGTGATGCCCGCTCAAGAGAGAGAACCATTGAGACAAGGGAAGAATTTTCATTGAGTCTCCATGGGCCAGGCTCTCTGCTGGGTCCTTGCTACTCAAAGTGTGTGGTCCTCAGACAGGAAGCACGCAGGTCACTGGGGAGCTTGTTAAAGGACTCTCCACACCCACTGAGACCTGCTGAATCAGGCTATTTCAGATGAATCATCTCCTTGAGTTCTCAGAGCCGGCTTATGACATAGATAGGATGGGAATTATCACCATGGAAATTTTTGTAGTATATGTTTTCTAAAATCGGTCTTTTGCTTTTAATTGTAGTTTCTTCTTCACTTTAGCCATTTCCAGGAGCTCAGAAGCAATTTCCGTGTTCACAGTAAAGCTTCGATTTAACTCCATGTACTCCACTTGCTGAACAAACTTTTGTTGACTTTACTTCTCTCTTTCCCCAAATCACCTCTGTCATTCTCCCGTCCATCACCACATTTCCTTGACTATCCCATTTATTAAGTGCTCTATTCAATTACTCCATCCCGATAGTTTGGACATTTAGAGTTAACTTTTCCCATCATCTCTGGGGTGGTGGCTTCTAAAACTGCTCCCAGGAATCGCCCCCTGCTGGCACGAAACCTCTGTAATCACCTCCCCTTGAGTTTGGCTGGACCTAGTGACTTCCTTTCTGTGAACAGATTACAGCAAGGGTGATGGGCTGTTCTTGTGAGATTAGACTATGAATGACTGTGACTTTGGCCTTGTTTACCCTCTCTTCTAGGCTCTTCTTGGGTGGTTCACTCTGATGAGCTGAGCTGCCATGTTGCCAGCTGCTCTGTGGAAATTCCTGCACATCAAGGCATTGAATGCAGCCTTCAGCCAACAGCCAGTGCAAGAACTCATAAGGAACTGAATCCTGCCAACAGCCACTGAATGAGCTTCGAAGCAGATCGACCCCTCTCTTGAGCCCAGAGATGACTTTAGCCCTGGCGGACGCTTTGATTGCAGCCTGAGAGAGACCCAGAGTCAGAGGACCCAGTTAAGTCACACTTGGATGCCTGACCCACAGACACTGTGGAATAATAAGTGTTGTATAAAGCCAGTATGTTTGGGGGTAATTTGATATGCAGTAATTGATAACTAATGTAATCTCCCTTCAATTGTGTTGTCAAGGTCTAGCTTGTCAGATTGGTGGAGGGATTCTGGGCTTGCTCTAAAACTATACAGAAAAACCTAGTGCAGGAAAGACTGCCAGTGTTCACCAAATCTGGTTTTCCTTCCCTTCCCAGGTACAATGTAAACCACAGTTCCCAGCCTACCTTGAATCCAGAGGGAGGATGGGTCTGATAAATTGTGCCTAGAAGTGATAAACACCTGGCAGATGCACCCAGCCTGGTTCCTAAAGCATTGCATTTTAGGAGTTCCCTTCATGCTGTTACTCTTTGCTTTAAGGTGGTTGGACACAGAAGATGCAGGAGAGGACTTCAGTGAAGACTTAAAAGTTAGTGAGCTGATAGAAGGACTCTTGTCTGAGTGCCCACTTTGATGAGAGTCTCCTCGGAAACTGCCAACCAGGAGCATTCTTAGTGGACTTTATGGGATCAAGAATCAACCTATGTTGCATTAGCTCTTAAGATGCTGGGGCTGTTTGTTATGCAGCTAACCTAGCCTATCCTGACCACCACACCTTTCTTATATGTTTTTGTCTATTTCATTTGCTTTGCATGTTTAAATTTTAATATCAATTAATTATCTTTCAGTCCTTTAAACACAATTGATCTCTGTAATACTTGAGGTAACCTGCATTTCTTTGCTTTGCAAATATTTATTAGATACCAGGTACTATGCTTCCATTGATGAAAGGGCACAGATTTTCTCTTTAAAAAATTCATAATGGGGGCCAGCCCAGTGGCACAATGGTTAAGTTCACATGTTCTGCTTCTGCAGCCCAGGGTTCACCAGTTCAGATCCTGGGTGTGGACATGGCACCGCTTGGGAAGCCATGCTGTGGTAGGCATCCCACATATAAAGTAGAGGAAGATGGGCATGGATGTTAGCTCAGGGCCAGTCTTCCTCTGCAAAAAGAGGAGGATTGGCAGCAGATGTTAGCTCAGGGCTAATCTTCCTCAAAAAAAAAAATCATAATGAATTAGGAAAATAGAAACACGAAGAGGCAATTGAATAGAAGTATAATAAGGATATACTCATAGAGCTTGTTCAAATATACTTTACACATCAAGCACTAACCCTTAATTACTCTTTTAACAGCACTTAAAACCCTCTTCATCACATTAAATATCTATTACATATGGTGGTAAGAAAGTGTGGCTGTTTTGGATCACAATGAATTTGGCTCAGATAGAGGTATTTTGTATGTAGGAGACAAAAAATGAAGTCACAGAAGGAAAATATGCCTAGACATTTGAAATGTATTCAGTTGGCACTAGGGAGCCATTGATGCTTGTAGGGGGAAGATACAGGATAAACTTTTCTTTTCGAAAGATTTATTAGGCAGAGATATTAGGGTGGCCTAGAAGAGGGAAGGCAACATGCATGCGGGAAGACTACATGGGAACCTTACTGCGGAGGAGATCAAGCGTGAGTCAGCAGAGTCCTGCCTGAGGGCAACAGGAGAGGAAATTAATGCATAGAAGTTAGCTTTGAGAGAAAAATCTATAAATCTAACTGAGAGAAATTATCCCCACACGATCTGAGAACATTACTTGGCATTTAACTTTTCATTTCTTCCATTTGTATTTAGGCGTGTGTGCTATCATTTTCATTATATAAGATGTGACACTATATCTAGGAAAGTAACTATTTCTAATAATGTGATATTGAATTGTGTTTATTTTTATCTTATATTTTATGTTTAAAACAAACAATCCAATCACGTATGAATTCTCCTATTACTTAGGGAGAATTAAAAACATATTCTTTGTTTACTTTTTGGTGTGACATTACAGGAACAACTCCAGACTATGAAAGAAAAGGCTGAGAGCTGATTGAGAAGTTGAAGGGTTTCTTCAGAGTGAGAGCTGCATCTTTTCCTGTGATTCCCACCCCTCACCTCTATGGAGAAGACATCCTTCCCCTTTACTTGGGCTAGTTGGTAGGAACCTTAGGAGAACCGTCTGTGCCCACTGATGGGTCTGTGTGGGTGTTGGGGGTGGAGACCGATGTTTGACTCAGATGATGCAAGAGGCAGTGGTTAGCGCTGCCCTTGGGTAGTGTTGAGACTGAGAGACAAGGCTACACTGGAAAGTGCCTGTGCTCTGAGGTTGGCTGGGCCCATGAACCTCAGTGCCTTGGGGGCTGGCTACAGACTCTTGTAAGGAAGCAGGATCGTGTCCTTTTGAGAGAGATCCATCCAAGAGGACTAGTGGGAGGGCCTTAGGAATGGAACCATGGAAAACAAGACTGAGCGTGTCTTCAGTGGCCACCTGGGGGAGGCTTGGTCCATATCAAGGGAACTGCACAATAGAGACCCTGAGCAATAGGAGGTGCCCAAAGACCCCCACCCCAAGTGGTCCCATGAGAAAAAGATTCAGCATCTGGATTCTGCCACATCCGGAAGTCATCAATGCCAGATTTCAGCAGTCCTGTCATAGAAGCTTTGTCCTGTACTTCTCTTCTTCCAAGCCTGTGCCCCTACTGGAGGGTCCCACACAGCAAACAATAAGTAGTGGCTCAAGGAAGGGAAGAATCCAACCATAGCTTCCTTTCCTATGCCAATTCCCCCTCCCAGTGATTGAATTCTGCAGAGGAGAGAGGTTTGCAATTGACTAAGAGCTTGGAAGTTTGTTGTGGTCCTGGGCTAGATGCTTTGTTACCTAAAAGTGACCAGACAGTTTTACTCACTGAAGCACGATGACTAGAAAGGCTCTGCATTCTGCTCAGGATTTCAGGCGGGTAGGGGGTGTTTGGGGTCCCAGGGTGGCTGTGCCAGGGCTGTGGGGAGAAGGGATCAATTGCTTCTTGCTTGTAACCGCTGAGTCCTCCAAAACACCCTGAATAACTGCGTTTTCTGCCTTCTCGTGGTATAATTTCAGCCATGTTCTTGGCATGAGCTGACTCAGAAAGAGATTGGTTAGTAAAGATTTTTCTGAGCTCCCCAAATTTAAATTTCCACCCCCAATTTCATCTCCATTCAGTGCCATGCTGAGCCATTTTAGAGCCAGAGGCAAAAGGAAAAATCAGTAACACCGATCCTGTGTTTATTCAAAGTTGTGATATTTTGGTCGTCAGGGATTTTCTTTGCATTAATTTTGATTTTTTAACATATTACATTAAAATATTGCTTATCTTGGGGCTGGCCCAGTGGCATAGCAGTGATGTTCGAGTGCTGTGCTTTGTCAGCCCAGGGTTTACTGGTTCAGATCCTGGACACAGACCTACACACCACTTACCATGCCATCTTGTGGCAGGCGTCCCACATATAAAGCAGAGGAAGATGGGTGTGGATGTTAGCTTAGGGCCAATCTTCCTCAGCAAGAAGAGGAGGATTGGCAGCAGATGTTAGCTCAGGGCTAATCTTCCTCAAAAAAAAAAATGCATATATATATATATATATATAGCCTATCTTGATTATTGAGTTTTTTTGAAGTCTCTTAAATTTTATGCCCCAAGCAAGTGTCTCAATCACCTCACATGAGTCCCAGCCCTGTCTCCACCCCTATGTCGCCCAGTTCAACACCATTACCAGCACTTCCATTCTGAAGAAGAGGAGGAAATAGGGCCAGCCCTCAAGATGAGGAACAGTTTCCTATCAAATCCTTCTGCCCTGTCGTCAGAGGTCTCTCACCCCAAATAGGCAACTTCTGGACTCCCCGGTGCCATAGCCCAAACAGTAAAAATCGGAAGGTTATGCGTTTGCCTGTGAGGAGCATATATTGTTCCAATTTCCTGTCTAGACCACTGTTTACAGAGAACTAGAAGTGCCCCCAGGGTCCCAGCGTGCTTCACAAGTGGAAGGATTCATGTCAACCATTCTGCACAAATCTAGTCCTTCAAAGCCTTTTTGCCTTGAAGATGCTCTGTCTGGGGTATTTGGAGGAGGGAGAAACTTGGCAGGTTTTGTTTCTGGTCCTTTCCTAATATAACTTAGTATTTAAGAGCATGAACTTAGCTAAAAGTGGGATTTGATCTCCCATTCCCTGACATTCTCATTGTGAAATCTTACTTCTTACTCCAAACCTCAATTTCCTCATCTGTAAAATGGCTCCTCATAGAACATGCGTAAGCATGCAGGAGTCTGTTTAGCTCAGTGTGGCTGGAAAAAGGGGGATGAAGTGACAGATGAATCTGTATACATAGGGGAATCCAGATTGTAAAATGCCTTTAACTTCATTGAGGGTCATGTGGCATAATCCATGCACAGCCCTTAGCTGTACACAGAGGACACATGCACTAAACGATAGCTACTGTCATTATTACACTTTTACGTGATCAACAATCTTGCTAACAGTGAATTGGAGTGAAACTACACATGGCAGAGACATCGCTTCCTTGGATGTTTCACTCTTTACTTACTAATTTTAGCTAGTTGGCCTAAAATTGGGCAGGTTGGCCCAAAAATCATGCTGGGTCCTCAGCAGTGTGGAGGCAGGATAAAAAAGAGGACTTCAGGATTGGGTGGGCAAGGGGACCACAGCCTGGCCTGAGAAGACCAGCGTGGTCTATGGGTGGAGGGAAAGCACTCGTGGTTCAAGTAGGCACTGGGCTAACGTCAGACACAGTTATGGTTGTCCAGGGAGCGAAGGATCGATCCTTAGGGTCGGATGGACAGGTTGTGAGAGCAAAGCTGGGGTCCAGGAGTGAATGATGGGCTTTGCCAAGCCTTGCCAACTCCAACCCACCTGGTTAGCTGCCAGACATAGTGTTTTGAGGAGGGTCCTGAGGTCATATCCACTTCAGTGGGGACAAGTGTCCTCATTGATTAGTGACGTCACCCCATGACTCGGATGGTTCCTCCACATTAAGGTTCTAAAGGCAATATTTGAGACTACTCTTGGCGAGGCCCCAGACAGTGGCTAGGAATAAACAAGGAGGTATCCAACTTCCCTGGAGAAGGGGGCCGTACAGATTTGCAGTAGAAGAACTAGGAGGAGCGGAAAACAGCTTTCTCCTCGGTACCCCTCCTGCCCCTCCCTTAGGAATGGAGTCAACAAGACCTAAATATACTGAGCCAAACAGACAGGGCTTCAGCCCCAGGGGCTGAATGGGTAACAGGGAAATGGGTAAGGGTCTTGCAACCATGTTAGTTTAAACATCACCAGCAATGGGGAGGCTGTGAGTCATGGTGCTCCTCAGGCGCACAGGCACCCCTCAGTCTGTGTTCACAAACTGACCCCAGCTGCATCCACTGGAGGAAAGAGGCTGTGTGGGAAAGAGAGCCTTGAGGGAGGAAGGCCTGGGTGCCCAGAGGAGGGTGAGTCTAGGACATCAAGGCCAAAACCAACTGGTGGTGAAGCAAGGACTCTTTTCATTGAAATGACCCAGTTATATTAAATGTCCACCCTGCAGACGCAAGATAGATGAGAACATGGAGTTGCAAATTAGGACAAGGTGCGCACTTTCCAGATCTCCTGACCAGACTGGTAAATGCTTGAAATTTAGGCATAAGTCATTAGTGAAGGTAATTTTTTCCTTATTTTATGTTAAACTATTTCAAGCGAAGTCTCTTCTATTTGGGCAACCTGCTTCAACGTGTCAGGACAAGAGAACGTTTCTGTATGTCGATTCCATCTCTTGTTAGGCAATTTTATCTTCATATTCTTGTTTTGATCTTCACAAAGATAAAGAATAGGCCATTATCCATATACAATGATTGGTGGACTTTGGGCAAGAGCGCCAACCTCTCTGTTCCTTTAACTGTTCGATGGGGTATGGTAATTGTTTGGATGGGGTCGACGTAAAGATGAATTGAGTGAACACATGTGAAACACTCCTAACAATTCCTGCACAACTCAGTAAAAGTTAGCTATGACTGTCATCACTATTTTTGCTCCATCCCTGAACAGAAAGACAATTACAGAATAGTCTTACCACTGAAAAGACAGGACAAAAGCAAATGGCTGATTCCATCAATTTTGGAAAACAAAAGTCACTATTAAGAGTAAAAGCATATTAGCCAGATTGTTATTGGGTCTCATGGAAGGAAAGAACAAAATTTAATGCATTTCCTACTCATCTATATCTCTTGGCTTCATACAAGCATGGACAAAGCAAATCTTTAGGGGCGTATAAACCAGGAAAGCTCTACAGGTTATATTACTTATTTCCATCATTTATGTATTTATCCATTTAGTCAACAAATGCTTATTTGGAGTCTTACTATGTGTCAGACACTGGGTTAGACACACAAGATGGATGGTCTCTTTCATCAAATAGTTTTCAATCCAGTGGATGAGGCAGCAATGGATAAATCAATAAGTACAAAAAAAAGGTTATATGTATTTGGAGAGAGGGATGCTCTTAGGGGTCTTGGGGACGTCAGGAAGGAGGGACAAGTGTTTAGAAATGACTGCCCAGAAGATAGCAACATCCCCACACAAAGACGGAAGAGGTCACTCTTGGCACACAGAGCAATGCAAATGCAGACGTGGAGGAATGGAAGAATCTGGAGATTCTTCCAATTAGCTGGCTAGATCCTTGCTACTCAAAGTATGGTTGGGACCAGCAATGCCAGCATCACCGGGAACTTGGTTAGAAATGCAGCATTGCAGTCTCCAGTGCTCAGTGGGACATGGGCCACAGAGATGGGAGGGCCCAGATCTTGGAGAGCCTTCACATGCAACAGCATTGTTTGGAAAATTGCTGCCCTAAGGTCTTGAGGGCAGTGACCCAGCCTACTTCCTCACAGTACCTCCCCTGGCATATTGCACATGAGCACCCATTTGTTCATCCAATGAACGCTGTGCTAAGTAACACAAAAACACAATCTTTATCAACTGGCCAACCCTGGTTGCTTCACCCAACCATTCAATCTATTTTCTAAAGGCAGAGTCGTATTTTGTCTCCTAGGAAAAAGAGAACTGAGTGGCATTTTGTTTATCTTTTAAAAGAGCTCAGCACTGTAATGGGAAATATGGAAAGAAATAGCTCCTCATC